TATTAAAAATAAAAAAAATAAATAAAAATAAAATAAACAAACAAGCATTTAATATAATACCAATTTAATAAAACTAAGTAGTTGGAAAAACAAACCTAACTTTAGTAGGGTCTACGGAGGGTAAGATGATTGTAACTTTATCCCAATTTTTATGACTTGAACCCATGCTAATGACAAACCTTATCGTCCGGTTAAGCCGCTCTTTTGACTTCTCAATCTATTTTCATATCCGACTTTATTAAATATTGTTTCTTTACTTTTTATGCATTGTTGTAGATTACAAAGTATTATATTATAGAATTCTTCTTGTTCACCTTCTTTTTTTATGAAATGCAAAATTTTTACCATCAAGTTTTCTATTGTATAATATTAATATTATATTTACATTTTACATAGAGTATTATATTTTTCACAATATTTTTACTTCTTTTTAGTAGAATATAGGTTTATTTTGTGTATACTTTTTAAGAAATGTTTATTTAAATTAAATTATTACGTAATTTGTCTTTTTCAGTAGGATCTTACAATTCTCGATCTGATCCTATAAACATTCTAACGATCTAATGTAGGATCCCAATTTTAACAACCTTAGTCAGAGTGCAAATAAATACACATCATATCAATGGTCCAGGAAAAATTGTGTGTGGAACTGGAGTTATCCTGCAAAAATGTTTCCCAATACAAGTTTTCTTTACCAAAAACCTATTTTAGGGACTGTTCAAAAAAAAACCTATTTTAGGGTAACTACGCAAATCTGGCATTCAGCTGTTACGAGTTACTTTTAAGATTCTTGATCAAACAATATACCAACATTTGTAAAATTGTCATGCTAAATAAATGAATTTCGTGGGTAAAATATGCATTAAAAATGGGTGAGGTGTACACTGCAAAATATCTTCTAACGAATAGTTGAATGATGGAAGCTCTACCTTGCTGCAAGACGACATAAGGAAGCTGACGTACATATTTATGATATTTTCTTGATAGGCCAAATTGAAATTTAGCTCAAGCAACAATTTTGATTTTGTTGAAGACACACTATTTTTTCCTTTCATTTGAATACTGCATTTTCTTAGGCTAACTTGTATGCACCTAAAGAGGTTATGGTTTCCATCCTTCTAGATTGGATGCAACTAATGTATGGAGATAGGATGCATCTGAAAGCATGCATGGTGGTGATTGGGAAGCAAGGGATGAGGCCATTTTAGCCTCATTCAAACAAATAGTCAAAACGCTTTATTGTAGCTGAGGTTTGGCACATGGTTCGTGGCTGTGCAGGACAGAGGGTGAAATTACGATTTTGCCCTTTTAATTTTTGACTAACACACCTACTCAGCATTTCAACACACAGGGGCAATTTGGTCATTTCCTATCCCAACACATCACATTAGCATGCCAACAACAACTTTTTAGGGATAATTTGGTTATTTTTTATCCCAACATCATTTCAAACACATATTCCAATACAACAATCAAACAAAAAATTCAACCCATCTTCCCAAACACAAACTAAAATAACCTACTAAAATAACCAAAAAACCTAAAAATATCCACTTCCCAAACGAGGCCCATGTATGCTAACTTTTGTGGACACAGTGTTGGATGTAACATACTGTTGTCCTATACTCAATCTATATACAATGTCATAAACCAAACCAAACCAAACCAAACCAAGCCTTAAGTCCCATCAAATGGGGTCAGCTACATGAATCCTTCTTCTCCACACGGCCCTATCAAAGGCCATTTCATTAGTCAAATTAAGTAGATTCATATCTCTATTTATAACGCTAGTCAACGTTAATCTAGGCCTACCCCGTCCCCTAACACTTCCACCTACCGTTACAGCATCGCATCTCTTCACTACTACCTCTGTTGGTCTCCGTTGAATATGACCAAACCATCTCAAACGATTCTCTCTCAACTTATCTTCTATTGGTGCTACTCCTACCCATTCCCGAATACACTCATTCCTAATTCTGTCCTGTCTAGTCTTACCACACATCCACCTTAGCATCCTCATCTCAGCCACACTCATCTTATCTACATGTTGTTTCTTGATTGCTCAACACTCCGTCCCATACAACATAGCTGGTCTAATAGCCGTTCTATAAAACTTACCTTTTAGTCTAATGGGTATTCGTTTATCGCACAATACCCCAGACGCACTTCTCCACTTACACTATCCCGCCTTAATCCTATGGGCCACATCTGCATCAATCTCTCCCACTGTTGTGATAATCGACCCTAAATAACGAAAATGTTTACTCTTAGGCAGTTCTTGATTCTCAATCTTCACTTCTCCTCTGTTTTCATTGTTACTGTTACTAAATTTACACTCCATGTACTCTGTCTTAGTTCTGCTTATCCGAAATCCTTTAGATTCAAGAGTTTTTCTCCAAATCTCCAACTTTGTGTTAACTCCTTCTCTAGTCTCATCCACTAACACAATATCGTCTGCAAAAAGCATACACCATGGCACGTCATCCTAAATATTTATCGTCAACTCGTCCATAACTAAAGCAAAAAGATAAGGACTTAAGGTAGATCCTTGGTGTAACCCTACAGTGAGAGGAAATTCATTTGTTTCTCCAGCTGGCGATCTAATAGTGGTAAAATCATCTTCTCGTCAACTGTCTGCAGTTGGGACACTTACAACTAATGCAAAAGAAAAGGGCTTATTAGCAACCCTTGATGTAGGGGTAGTGCCACTGGAAATCGACAAATCTCTCACCTTTATGACCAAAAAGATGTGCTCTAATCAGCACATACAACTATTCTTTGTACAGTTACAAATTCACAACACAAGCTACTGAAAAAGGGGGAGGGGAGAGAGAATTTAAGACAAGAACATACCTATGATAGTCCCATGAAGTATACTGGCAGGAGGAGGCATGGTTGAGATTTCAAGCTGCTCCTTCAAAAACAAATAAGTATGCCCCACAATCTCATCCAATTCATCATCAAGTGAGAATATGTGCTTACTGATGTATAAAGCAGTATACCTCCTAAAGAATAGAGAGAGAACTTTAGAATGTAACTCTGTTTGCTGAGGCACATAAAAAATTGAAACTATAGCAAACAAATGTAACTGACACACAAATGTGCGAGAGAGAGAGAGAGAGAGAAGATTTCACACAGTTGGCCTCCATAAATAGGTCAAAAAAATATCCAACAGAAGTATAGATAAGCTCAACAGCATTCTTTTGCTTGTCAAAATCCAGGGCAGATTCATAAAATATTACATCAAAAGGCTCAACTATTTTAACTAATGCATCATGAAACAAATTGTAGCTTACTCATAGATTTCACTTTTTATCTTCTTGGCAACCAAATGCCAAATAGATATAGGAGACACGCACACGCACACACACATATATATATGTATATATATATAGAGAGAGAGAGAGAGGACATTAATTTGAAATATACCTTTTGCTCAATCCTCGAGGGATAGGTCCAGGCCACCTTGTAGCATGGCCAGCCAAAGGAAAAGTCCTAAGAAGGGCAGCATGCCACAAACATTCTTCCCGAAACAGGTTAGCCCACTGCTTCTTCACACAAGATAGTTGCAACCATTCCGATATGGGAACACGAATGAATATTTCTATCAGTAGATGATCTGGAAGCTTCCCAAAAGGATTATCAGCAGAAATGAAAGTGGTACTTCTGCTACTATCATCTGTCATTAGGCTATGGAACAATGCTGAATACATCAGTAAACAAAAAGTTTCAAATTATGGGTCGTGAAGAGAATAATCATCGTAACAAAATCAAGTAGCCAAAGACAGGAAAACAACCAAATCATAAGAGTAGATTGAACATGAAGAAAAAATAATAAGAGAATGAGAGAATGAGTGAATGAAAAGCATTTCTTGAAAATGATAATTACCTATGGTTTCTCTTTGAATTTTAATTCATTGTCAAAAGGTTTGCTTATTGTGTGAAAATCATTTTGCTGCTCAAATTCACTCTTATGTCGACCCATCAAGTTGTAAAGTGTTCCACAATATCTCCAAAAGGCCAAATTGTTCGAGTGAAAACTCTTTGAAAGAACAAGCAAGTCAATACAACCTTTTTTGTTAAACATGAAGACAAATCTGTTCACAACTGCAGTTGTTTCTATTAATAACCAACTACTTACTATTGCCTTTCAAACCAAATCATAAATAATAATAAAATTATATGTTAAACTAATGGATCAACTCAATATCAGAAACAGAACAAAGATTGACAAAACGAACAAATCTTTATTACATAATTATTTAAGCCCTCTGGAACCTATTGATCCAGTTGGCTTCCCATATGAGAAATAATGGTAGAACGGACTAATGGTTAAAAGTTTTAGTCCCTGTTCTTCCTTGAGGCCATTGTCAGGACTCTGGCTTGGTAATTATCTGATATATGCGGGACGATAATTAATTTTGCATACTTGATCTTTTCTCAAAGAGCACGAGTTTACTTTTTTATATTTAAAAAAATAAAAATCTTAGCTCAAATTTAGATTATCAACATAAAATTAGGGAAGTGCAAAAAAATCCAATTTGTTTTCCACGAAGGCAAACATCATATACTACAACATTAACTCAAACAAAACAGAACAATTGAACAATTTAAAAGAGCAAGTAATGTTACCCAGAAACTTATTTTGGCAATTTTACAAAACCCAAGATTTATTTGATTCAGTGATTGTGTTTACCACAGTCCCCACCCATAAACTGAAAACTAGAACAGAATTTAACATAAAAAATTATGAGACATACAGAAACCGAGTGAATTACAAGTTGAAAAGGTATATTGTGAAAATGATAATTATCAGAAAACACAACTTTAAAAAAAAAAATTGAAGTGTAGTGAAAAGATTGAATTAATTAATTTGAAAAGCCTGAATTGAGACAGGTGAAATTACGATGAAATCAAGAAGATCGACAAAAAGATTAAAAAATCGATGTAGAAATTAAAGATTAAAAAAGGAAAAGGATGAATAAAGAATGTATACATGCCTGAGAGAAGAAGGTGAGAGCAGAGAGGAGAGGTCTCTCTCTCTCTCTCTCAGCTTGGGACTTGAAAGAGAGATAGAAGGACGGCAGCTGGACGAGTAGCAAAGCTAGCCAACACACATGTAGTGTTCTCCTCTCACCAAACAACAATGGGAAAAAAAATAAAAAAATTCAAATTAAACTACGCTAGTGTCGATTTATATGAAAAAAAAAAATTCTCTATTTAATTTTATTTAAAATTATTTTATGAATTAAATTAAAGAGATTAATATCTCTATTTTTCACGTCCATTTAATTAATTAATTTATTTTTGATAAATAGAGATATTCTTTAATAAAATTAATAGTTAAAACTAAAAACTAAAACCTTTTGGGCAAGAGGTGCTGCTGGCTTGGAAGTAGATATTTGATAATTTAACTAATTTATATTTTTTTTAAATATAATTTTAAATTAAAGTTGTATATTTAATACATAATTTTAAAAATATATTAAACACAAATTCTATTTTAAATTCCAAGTTGTGTTTAAAAATAAACTTACATTTTATAAATAAATTGAAAACAACTCGAATTTAAAACATTGAACCTAAAATGATTTTAGTTAAAAAAATTCATGAAACTAGCCAAGTCGAAAGAGCAACACAGTGGTCCCTACCTAATGCGCGATTGACAAAATAATTTTACATTTATATAGCGACAATTTGGAAAGAACCTAAAAAAAAAAAAAAAAAGTTAGTTTTTAAGTTTTTTAATTTTTTTATAAAAAAAAAAGCCCCAAAAAAATAAGTTTTTTAAAAAAAAAAGAGAATGAGGAATAGAAGGTTAAGAAATCAGGGAAAATAGAGCTCAACTAAAGGAAAATGGAGCTCAAGTGACATGGAAGACGTGATGTGCATCTTTTGTGGAAGACAAAGGATAATATAAAGAGTATAATGATGAATTATAAATAAAATATAATATATCTAAATATAATCAATATAATAATATTAAACAATTTAAGCTGTGCTTCGTTTTGGTTTTGATTTTATTTTTTTGGTTAAAAAAGTATAAAAAACAAAATTAATTATATAAATTAATAATATAAAATATTACATTCAAATCATAATCATTATATTTTTTCTCCCACAAAAATTAAAAAAATCAAAAATAAAAATTAAACGGAATTGAAAAAACCAAGTTAAAATAGTTATAAAAAAAAAACTAAAAAACCACACTATTTTAACTCTTTTGAGACGAAGACTTAGGCCTCATTTGGCAAGTAATTATTTTAGTTAAAAAGTTAAAAAATCACTAAAAAAATCAAAAAGTCAACAACTTATATAAAAAAGTCAAAGATTTCATTTTCAATTTCTATCTACTTTTTGCACATATTTTCGTAAAAAGTCAAAAAATCATCCCAAACATATTAATTTTTTTTATATCACATTTTAATCAAAAAGTTACTTAAAAAAAACTTGTTCCCAAACAAAGCCTTAATATCGGTTTTAATTTTTTTTTTAATTGAAGAAAAAAATCAATTTATCACTTATTTTAGTGATTGGGCGCAGTGGCACCTGGTTCGATTGTGTTGTGTGGCCTGGCCTCTCTCTCTCTCGCTTTCGATGTCTAATGTTTACGTTTACGTTTACGTTTACGTTTAGGGGTCGTCCTGGAGATTCCCAAAGGATAAGGTGCACCACTTTAATGATGTGTAAAACAACTCTCAACCTCAAAAATTACCGATTGAAGTGATGCCCACTGTAAAATTTGATTCCAATAATATGCTTTCAATCTCTTTCATTTCTTGATTTGAATAGCATTGTTCAAATAAATAAATAAATAGTGAAAATTTTCTATCGAAACGACTCTACTACTACTAGTGCATACATACAGATATGTTTAGGAAAATCTTTTCCGGCTATTGAGCACTTTCTGCAAAAGCGATTGACGTCCAGGAAAGGGACTCTCACTCTCCACCGTCCGATCTTCATTCCTCACCTGATCATCAGCATCAGCATCAGCATCTTCAACTTTCCCATTTCCTCTTCCAAACCCCAACCTCATTGTTGTCTTCTCCATTGTTCCCAGTCTCAACCCACCCCTCTTCTTCATCCTCATCCTCATTCTCTCTCTCCTCATCTCTCTACCCCTCCCACCTCCTTCTCCTCCATCAAAACCATTAACCCTACTCCCTCTCTTCAACTTCGATTCTCTCTCCAAACCCCCACAAATACAATTCTCCTCTGAAACCCTCCTCCTCGGTATCCTCCCCCCTTTCGATGTCCCAAGAATCCCAAAATCGATCCTGCTCCAACCCACCTTGTCATCGTTGTCCCAACCGAACCTCTCGCTGATTTCAAGCAGTTCAGAAACCGCGCCCTCAGATCTCGGAGAGCCGCGGACTCCGTCGTCGCCGTTCAGGACTTTCTGGGCGAACTCCCACTCGATTCGATCCCTGTAAACAGGGTCGTCGAGGACTTGGTCTGCCAGCACAGCCCACTCTTGCAAGTCGCGAGCTCGGAGATTGTTGGAGACCCACTTAAGATAGCTCGAAGGAAGGGTCCCTAGCATTTTCCCCCTGTGTCTCCCAAAGTCTATGACTCGGTCGCGCGCTGGGAGGTCTCTTGATGTGGCTGAGATTCGGGCTGTGGTGGTCTTGATGAGATTGGGGACTTTGGGTTTGAGAGAGCATGAGAATGTGAATGTTGTTGTTGGGTTATGAAGAAGTGAGAGAGGCTGAGAAACCGTTGCTTTACTACTACTGCACTGCAGGAACGAAAGTTTCATGGTGATGAGAGAGAGAGAGAGAGTCGCAATGGATAGAGTTGATTTGGATTTTATGGCGTTTGGTTCATATTACTATTTGTTCTCGTTGGACCTCGAGGAAAGCCCTCGCGATATGAAAGTGGGCAGGTGAAGTGAGTGATACATTCGCCCCGTTTGTTTGAGGGGCGAAAAAGTGATTATAATTTATATGTTAACAGTTTATAATTTGTAATTGTAAAAATAAATTAATTTTGATTTATAAATTAAGTTTTTTCTCTTCTACTTAAAGAATAAATTAATTTTTGACTTATAAAAAATTATAAATTGTATTATTAAACTGAACCAAACACATCAAAATAACTTAAATTAAACTAGAAGTTTAAATAAACTGGAAATAAGTTCTACCAAGCAGGGCCATTGGATTCAATTTCTTTTTTCGCACTTACCAATAAGCCTCATATATAAATTTTAAAATTTATTTAATTTAAAAATAAAATATTTGTACCAATTAATCTTATATATTTTTAATTATTATCAAAAAAAATTTATTTTTATTATTTATAGACGCTGTTACATCTCACTACCGTCGAACTTTCGTTAGACAGTCACCGAAAATTCGTCGAAATGTTCAACATCACCCAAAAGCTGTCGGAGTATCGCCGAAAAGTTGCTGGAATATTGCTGGAAGTTCACAAGAGTATTATGAACGTTAATGGAAGTCGCCGGAATGTCCAAAACGTTTGCTGGACGTTAAGAATATCATTTGAGACTCACCAGAATGTCCAGAATATTGCCAAGAATGATAATAAATAAATAGAGAAACTAGAGCGAAAAAAAACATAACAAAATGTGCCAAATATTGATAAATTAAAATAAATATATATATATATATATATATATAACGACAAAAAACAGCAACAATGGGAAAAAAATGTTATTTTTCAATTTTTGTAGGGTTTAAACAAATAATCTCTAATATTGATTAAACTGAAAAAGCGAGTTTTGAAACTATAAAATGTTACAGTTGCAAAGTAAAAATCTATTAAGCATTTATTCTTATTAATCGAACTGAAAAACAAGTTATGAAATTGCAAAATTTTATAATTCTAAAAAATATTATTAAACTACAAAATTTTGCAGTTTTAAACCATGATTCATTCAAACACCCAAAAAAATTGAAACTGAAAAATTTTACAGTTTTCACCACCTGTAAGTAAAACTTGAAAACAATTTTGTTCAGAATTTGAAAATTTCTCTATTAAAACAGAAAAGATAAGTGTGTAGCAGAAAAAATGTTAAAAAATTAAGAGATCGAAGGAGAAAGACAAATATAGAGAGAGGATTGTACTCCTGTTACAACCCAAACTCGCTCCTAAAGGTTTAACATCGTAACCAGCTAGTAATCCTTGAATTACCAAAGGCTTCTTCGTAGAATAACATATAGCTAGGGGCTGCGGAAGCAAATATACAAAATATATGTAGTCCATTGAGCTGTGAAGACATACATGGAACAGATAATTTAAAACTTCTATGATCTTGCATGTGGCGTCAAAAAATATAGTATTTACACATCATTCCACAAACATATCATCCAAAAATCTTGCCCATGAATCAAAAGAAACAAGGTCTAGTACATTCACAAAAACAGCCACTAAACTTTGACTTAATCCGGAACCTCCTCGGGAGGCACAAAGGTTGACTGACAAAAATTAAGACACCAGGTCCTCAACTCTGAGCCTGGTCACGTGCCTGATCACCTACATACATAATATAGATAGTGAGCGGAAGCCTAGTGAATAATAACCAAGTAAAAGGTTTCAATGAATGATGTCCATCACATAGTCAGAAATCAGAGTCTTAGGCATATTCAGAGTTCAAATCAAAAACAGATTCGCATACATATTTGTTTTCATTATCAAAATTCATACATTTCATATCATCGTACGTGGCACATCCATTAGCGTTAACAAATCTGATGACCCATAAGGGACAGCCGTAAAGGAAATCCAATGACTCATGTGCACAGAGACGTTCATGATGACCTATAAATGGACAACCATAAGGCATTCCAATGACTTATGTGCATAGAGACGTATTCGATGACCCATAAGGGACGGCCATAAAGGCATTCCGATGACCTACAGAGGGACTTGATGACCCGTAAAAGGACACAAAATACCACATGATGCTATGGATGCCACGAGTACGTTTTAGAAACTTGAACGATCATTCATTCACACAAAACATAGTATTACAGAAAATTAATCATTTCATATCATCAGAAACTAATAAAAATTAAACATAACTTTACAGAGTTATTACTCATAAATAACAGATGGCTCCAAACAGTCGAATATAGTGGGCAATTCAAATCTCTTGAGGCGCGTGACCTACACGGGTACAAAATGAATACATACAGAATTACACACCCGAAAACATTAACCTAGTTCTTTTCAGTCTTGGTGCATTTTTACTTATTTATCCTCATTATGGTGTTTTAAACATAACCCAGGAATGCTTAGGATACAATAAGGATGCTAAAATGCGTTGGAAAAACAATTGGTGAAATTTCTGAAAATAGAGTCCCCGAGCGTATCTTTCCGCGCTCGAGCGGACTAGCAAACATGTGAGGGGCCGCTCGAGTTCAACCTTCAACGCTCAAGCGATCTGCAAACTTTGAAAATGTACTGGTTATGTGATTTTCACGCTCGACGGACGCTCGACGGTCACTTGAGCGTGAGACTTAACTCCCCGCTCGAGCGCAACTTTTGCCGCTCGAGCGGTCTGCAAAATATGAAACTTCTGGGAGCATGCATGTCACGCTCGAGCGGACTTCTGGTCGCTCGAGCGAAGATGCGAAAACAAAGATGGTCGCTCGAGCGCGAGGTCTTCCGCTCGAGCGCGAGGTCTTCCGCTCGAACAGAAATGCAGAGTCTGAAATTTTCAAATTGCACTCCCAAGCTCCAAACACAAATCCAATGATGAAATTTGCGTTCTTTTGGATGGAAAACTTAAGACAACTTATGTAAACTTGGAAAAGTTAGTGAATTTAGGATCGTTTCGCAAAATCAAGGTTCAAAGCATGTGAATTGTACAAAAATTCAAACTCAATGTTTTGAAACATAACATACATGGGTTGTTATAAACTTCAACCTCCCAAAAAATGATCAAAGGAGGTCCAATGGTGAGAAACGTTATAAATTCTTCAAACCATACTAGAATTACAACATGCATGCGAAAAAATCTTTGAAAACAACTTCAAAATGCTATGAAACATGCATGCATGCATGATTTGAGTTACAATTCTTAAAGTTTAACTCAAATCTTGTATCAACCTTCCTAATTCCTTAGAGTTCAAGTCCTACACATCATATTTAGACAATATAAAGGTTGAATCCTTACCTAGACTTTCCAAGATTAAGGGCTAAAGACTTAATTCTTGAATCTCTAGGTTCAATTCTATCTCTTCTTAGCAAGTCTATTGGGCAAGCTTAATCTTCTCATTGTTCTCCCTCTCTCGCGCATGTGTGTGTATAGGCTCAAGAGTGTGTTGAATGAAGGAAAAAATGATGAGTTGAGGCAAAAATGTCCCTTATATAGGCTTGCCTAATGATAACTAATTAAGGCTAATCACATGGGCATCAAATTAATCTATTTAAATCGTTCTGAATCAAATTACAATTAAATCTAATACAAATTTCTATAAATCCCGAGTAACACATGTATCAAGTTAATTTCTGAATCGGATGCCGATAAGGCCTTCAATTCACAAACCAAAACGGAAATATGAACAGACCTTTCTATGCTTAACAGATATAAACACAAACAATGCAATGCACAAATAATTAACTCGTGATTACTTCTTAATTACTTGTTAGGCATACTTCAGCATGGATTAACGTTAATCATGGGTTGGGGTTGTTACAACTCTGACAACTATTTTTTGTTTAGATCTAGCCGGATGTGATGTAGATATACTCATCTTCTTCGTTGGAAACATATCTTCTTCACAGTCAGTGATGGTGAAATAAGGAGTCGGAGGTCGGTGGTTGCCGGTGAACCCCAATTGATGATAGTCATCAGTCGCCGGTGACTATATATCAAAAAAAAGAAAGAGTAGAAGCAAGATGTGGTTGCCCGTTGATGATCGCCGGAAATCACAAAGAGCAAAAAAGGTAGAGAAGAAGAAAAATGTGATAGGACTTTTGAGTATAAATAAAACGTTATAGGATTAAATAGGCTACGTATTTTTCAAAAAGAACTTCTTGATAATTTGCTCCTCTTTTTTTTTTTTTTTTCTTTTCTTTGGAAAACATATATTATTGTAACTGAACCTGCACCGCACCTTAAAGTTAAAACTTATTAGGTAAATTACAAATATTTGAAATTTGATTAAAATACGAATAATATTTTTTAGTTTTAAAAATTATATTTTACGTCTTGAGATTTTTAATTTCATAACAAATTATTAATAAATTATCAAGTCAATTAATTGTTTTTAATGATATTAAACTTATGTTTCAATTAATAATTTAAGTAATTTTATTGTTGTATAAGAAAGTAATTATAAATTTTATTTTTTAATTAATTCTATTAAATAAATTTTTTTAATAAGGAAATATTTATAATTTTTCAAATAATAGAAAAATAATTTATACTTTAAATAAATTTTAAAGTGTGTATTTATACATTAGATTCGATTTCTGTGTTTTTTTTCTTTTTTTCTTTTGAAAACATATATTATTGTAACTGAAAATAGTCACAAAAGACAAAACAGGCTATTTTAGCCACAACAAACAAAACATCACATCCAACCCATAATCATTACACTTTTCTCTCACAAAAAAAGCCAAAAAGCCAAAAAGCTAAAAAGCCCTTCCCAAACCAAGCTTTTTAGCCTAGGCTAAAATAGTCAAAAAAGTCAAATAGCCAAAAAGCCAACCTACTTCCCAAACGGAGGCTAAAGTTATAACTTATTTGATTTTGATGCAAGCCACGTCCACAGATATTATTAAAGTAAAATAATGGAGACGAGGACAATTTAGACGGATACACGTACACATCCAGAATAAGTCAAAATAACCCAACCTACAGAGAGAAGAAATATCACATTACTAGTACAATCAAACAGCACGCTACTTAGAGGCAGTGCATGTCGTGATAAATTTTATAAATTTTGGGTCGTAAATT